CGCGTTCGCGCCAACTCGGGTTTTCCACTCTTAACATTTTTCAACAAATTTCATTGACGATACGTAGAATGTTTTACATTTATTTATTTATATTGAAAAAAAAAGAAAAAAGAGAAGAAGACAAATATTACGACAATAGTTGGAGATTATTAAAATCTCGTGGAGGGGCTGGGGGGGGGGTTTAGAATCAACGTTGACAGACTTATCTACTATAATTTCGTTTGATCTACATGCAAACAACTCGTGTTAACCTTGACCCTAAGTTTCTCTACCCTCCCTCCCCCTCCCCATTTCCCCTGCCATTTCTTTTTCATTTCTCTCCCCCTCTCTCTCTTTCTCTTTCTTTTTTTTTTTTTTATTATAGAAATCGCTATCCTTTCGTCTCTTACACAAACATTATTCTTCTTGAGTCTTGCCTCTGGCCTTATATGCTTAGGTGGGTGTAAGTAAACATTGTACAGCACGTGTAAGTAAAAGGTAAGCTAAATAAGCGACTCTTTCCTCTCTCTTTCTCTCTCTCTCTCTCTCGTTTTTCTCGCTATCTCTTCTTCTTTCTTTTAACTTCTCTTTTTTTTTATGTGCTCGGATACGCGCTAGTAGAAGCGTGTACAAAGTGTCTCTTAACCAGCAATGTCTGGCTTTTCATTCGAGTTAGTCGGTGGTTGGCCATACTTCTTTATTTCTTTTTCTCTCTCTCTCTCTCTCTCTTTTCTTTTATCTCTTTCTTTTTTCCTAACTACTCGACGTAGATGCGATAAAAGAATTCCAATTCTTTCTTCTGAAAGAAAAAAAACAAAGAAAAAAAAAAGAAGCAGGAAGAAGTAGAAGTAGAAGAAAATTCCTACTTTTCATTCCATTTACTCTTACCATCTTCTTCTATCCGTTATACAAATGTTCACGTCGTACATACCTACCTACCTACCTACCTACTTTTCGATTTAGAGAAAATGAATTCTTCTTATTCTCTCGTATATCATTATATTTCTCGACTTTCGTAATCACGTCAACAACAACAACAACAACGATTATTACGTATTAAAAAGATCAAAGTATAAAAGAAGAAGAAAAATAATAATTAAAAAAAAAAAAAAAAAGGGATTAATCCGTTCTAGTTGATATTGAAAAGTTCTCAAAACTCTTTACGTTGGAAAGACACACGACGATAAGTTTCTCAATAAGTTTCGTAGATATTCGCGTTGGCCATATCTTCTTCTCCTTTCTCTTTTTTTTTTTACATTTTATCTTTTTTTTTTACATTTTTTTTTTCTCTCTCTCTCTCGCAGAAACGAAATCGGTGAAAGAACAAAAGAGAAGAAGAGAATAGAAGTAGGAGGAGGAGGAGTGGGGTGGGGTGGGGGGGGGTGAAAAAAGCGAGGGAGAAAAAAATGTGCAAAGCAATATTCGAAACGCGGGAGGGGGAGGGGCTGGAGGAAAAGTTGGTTGGTGGGTAGGATACGAACAGGAAAGTGTAATTTCAGTTTGAAACAGGAACGGCAGAAAGAGAGAGAAAGAGAAGAGAGAGTGAGTCAGTGAGTGAGTGAGTGAGTAAAAGAGTGATAGAATGAGAGAGTGATAGAATGAGAGAGTGAGAGAGAAAGACCGACCCACATCGAGGTTTCGAGTGTTTGTATTGCTGACGCGGCGATCCAATCCAATCCAATACCCATACCAGATAGGCAGTTATATATAGTACAAGCGCATGTACCTACGTAAATATCTATATATATATATATATGAACGAATGTTTCTGTCTATCTGTCTGTCCGGCTGTCCGACTGTCCGTCTATCTGTCTGTTTGTCTCTTGTCCCCCCCCCCCAACCCTCCTCTTTCCCTTTCATGTTCATGTTCATTCTCATTTAATCTTTCTCTCCGATTTCCAATATAATTTTTTCGCGGTGGATACTCGCGTAAGTGCTACGTTTACCCCCCCATAGTATATCATCCCCACTGATTCGCACTGATATTATGTCTATTTATAATACATTGTATTTAAGTTAAATCGGATCTCGAAGAAGAAACAGTTTTTTTATTTGTTTGTTTGTTTCATTAATCTGAAACTCTCACTTTTATTCGATTAATGTTACAAAATAAAATTTATTTTAAAATAATATAAAAGAATAGATATTTATTTTTTTTTCTAATTCATAAAAATGAATTTGACACACGTCAAATATACGATTATGTTTTATCATTCGTAAAACGAGAAAGATTTAATTTTGTCAGTAAAGACAAAGAAAGAAAAAAAGAGACGAGGGTGACTGGAGGGGAAAGGGGTGAGAAATGAAAGTAGGGTAGAGGTACATTATTTAGTAAAACCGGTAACGATTTTGGTGCAGCTCGATGATTTCGAGAAGGGATTGAAACGAAATCGGACGTTGCCGTCCCGTTCGTCTCCTATTATCATAAACGTAACAATAACGAGGGATGATCCGACATGTAAACTGTTAAACCCATCCTACTCTTCCTCCTCCTATCCCCTGACCCCCCTACCCCCTACCCCATACCCCCTTCCTCCTACATTCTCTATCATCCCTTTTTCCATCCTTTTCCTATCCTATCCCTGTTACACTCGCGCTCGTTCGTACTTTCGAGGTGAGCCACGGGGAACGACGAGGGTGGGTGAGGATTAGCGTTCGGGTTCCCGTTCGCTACGTATTACTTGGAATTCACTGGGGGGATGTTATTGTTGGCCGATGAACGAAACAGAAATAGTGAGAGAGAAAGAGAGAGAGAGAGAGAGAGAGAGAAAACGAATGAGGGAGAGAGTGAGAATGCAAGGAGAAATACGACGGAAGCACAACACAACACAACGGCTTTACCTACTGCTACTAATACTGATAGTTGTTGGTAGTAGTAGTAGTAGTAGTAGTAGTTGGAGAGAACAGGGGACCGTATAAACTGGCGTGTACGAACGACGAACGAGAGAAAGAGAGAGAAAGAAAGAGAGAGAGAGACCACCCCTTCGACCCTCGATAATATCGACGCTGTTTGCCGCCTCCCATTAGGAACTCGATTGAGCCAAACTATACGCTTATCGTGCGTCACTGATAATCCGTATTCCGATTTACTTCATTGCGGGTTAGCATGTATTTTTCATTCTTGACAAATTTTTCAAACGGGTAATATATATGTACGTACGTATATATATATATATATATATGGGTTTGATTTTTTTCAAAAATAATTCGTATCCCTTCAATCGATTCTTGTTTTTTTTTTCTTTCTTTTCTATCTTTTGTTATAAGAATTTTTTCACAAATAATAATTTGATTTGTTTTAATTTGAAAATTGGTTAATAAGTTTTTAATTTTTTATATGAGATCGGAGACGGTTTGTTTGATTTTTTTAATATGTAGATATATATGTAAGTAATATGAAAAAAAGGTCGTTAACGATGTCGCATAGTTGTGTTCAATCGAATCCGTAATTAGTTAGAAAATCTTAATGAAAATGATCGATATTTTCCTTTAGTACCAGAACACATCAAACGAATATCATCACCCATGCTACTTCTCAAACCATCATCCTTCCCCCTCCCTCTCCCTCTTCTCTCTCTCCCTCTCTCCCCCACTTAGCATCGTTTCTCTTATTTCGAATTCCCCTTGACTCTTTGCTAAAGTGCACGATTTCGCATTTCGCAAACGGACTTATAAATATTCACAAGAGTAGTAGTAGGTAGTAGTAAAAGAAGAAGTGGAATTTATAGAGAAAGAAAGAGAGAGAGAGAGAGAGAGAGAGAGAGAGAGAGAGAGAGAGATCACATAGAAAAGGGAAGAAGAAGGGTCGGTGCTTTTTGTTCTTTTGTCAGCGCGATCATTATATCCTGCCCTTAATTTTTTTTGTCTCCTTTTTTCCTCCTCCTCCTCCTCCTCCTCTTCTTCTTCTTTTTCCTTTTCTTTTTTTTTCTTCTTCTTCATAACCGTGTCCCGCTCGTGGAACGCGCGTGGGCGTGTTGTATATAGGAAAGAAAAATAAAAGGATTGGAAATAGACGAATGATGGTACTTTACTTAGTAAGTACAAACGGAGCACGTTTCGAATGATGATGAAGGCGATGATGATGATGATGATGAACTTGGTGAACTGCCGCGTGCTGCACGTTGTTGCCCTTTCGAAAATCCGTTATTAGCATTGCAGAACGGCAATATGACGTTTCGTCATGCTGATAAACAAGACGTCGTATTCTCTTTCTCTCTCTCTCTCTCTCTTGCTGTGTTCATCTACCTTGTTCTTTCTTTTTATTCGCTCACTCATTTTATTCGATGATCTTCTTCCATCCTTTTCTACTACTCGCGACGTCATACAACACGCGTTCAGTATATTATTCGATGGATAGGCATGACACGCGCCGGCACGTTCCCATTCACCTACGTTCGAATATTATTGTCTATTTATCTCTCTTTCTCTCTTTCTTTCTTTCTTTCTATTCCACGCCTCGCAAAAGGTAGTAATAGTAGTAGTAGTAGTAGTAGTGGTAGGTAGTACTAGGTACTTCTATCATCTAGTAGGGCTCGATAGTTTGTTAGAAATTCTTAATCTCGTCTACTTATTGTTAGTATACTCATCAAATCTTTTATTCGACTTTTATCCTAATGTCTCCGAAAGATATTCGACGATATATTTATATATATATAAATTTTATTATTAAACAAAAAGTAATAATCTTTGAATTTTTTTTCTAAATTCATACAAGTATAATAACCAATTTTATTATGGATATTTGTTTGATCATTTAAACAATTATGAAATGATTTGATTTTTTCTTTTTTTAGTATGTTTTTTTAGGTTGTAGGTTATTTTTTCTATTTTTATTATTAAACAAAAGATAAGATAAGTTTGGAATTTGTTCTGAATTCGTACAAGTATATTTAACTAATGATCAATTTTGTTATGGGTATTTGTTATTTAACTAATGACCAATATTTTTATGGGTATTTGTTTGTTCGTTTAAAAAATTACGTTATTAAATGATTTGATTTTTTGTTGTTGGTATGTTTCAGGTTATCATAGTGGACATCAATCGAGATTGGGTGGATATAACACCGCTAGCTCAAGTGGACCCTCTTCGTTACCGTCAGGACCATGGGCTAGCGGTTATGGTCCAGCACCACAATATCTTCAACATCGAGAATTTCGGCAACAACAAAGACATCCTTATCCACATCAGCAACATCAAATTCGTAATGGTAACAATTATCAGTCATCTCAGAACAATTATCATGGCTATCAACAAAGGGTAAGTCATTTTTATTTATATTGAAATTTTATATTCCCATATATTTTTAAGCGTATTTCATTCATCAAGATTATTATTATTATTATTATTATTTAATAATCTTTTTTTATCTCACTGTGATTAATTAATTTCAATATTATCTAATGTAAATTATTATACATATTAAAAATTTTATTGTCATATATTCGTATTTATTTTTAATAATTTTTAATTATAGAAAATAATTCTTTTTATAAATTTTATTTTCTTTTTTTTTTTTTTTATTATAGACAAATAATATTTATAGAATTCAAACGTATGGTATAACAAATGTAATCATTTTTATTATTTTAGAATGGCAACTCGGATCGATATGGGGGTAATAGCGGAGGAAATAGCGGATGGAGACGATAAATGAATTACTTTTGTTTTTTTTTCCTTCATAACGTACGCTATTAATATTCTTTTATATTCTATTTTATGTCTTTTTCAGTCGCATAATAGGATTCACATTGGAAAATTGAATTAATATTGACAATTAAATAAGCGGAACGTATGATTATTATTTTTATTATTATTATTAGTATTATTTGCTATTCATGTGAAATAATTTTAATTATAATTTTTCTTAAAATATACATAATCAATCATAATTTTTATTTCATAAACAAAACAAAACACAAAAAAATGATAAATGATAACGTATCTGTGTTCACGATAGCGTTTTAACGCCACAGTAGCATTTGATGTAGTTTTTACCTGTTAAACTTGCGTCATCCTAATTAAAGTACATATAATTTCGTATGTACTTGCGTAGATTAGAATTAAAAAAGAAAACAAAATAATAGTAATAAAAAAAAAAAAAAAACAAAAAAAAACTCAGTCACACGATCCGTTTGTATGGAAATGATGATGATGATGATGATGATGATGATTATTATTATTATTATTATGCACATTATTATGAGCCTCATTTTTTTTCTTTTCTGTTTTACTATTTATGTCGACTTGAAACAATTTATCGAGGGAACAAAAGGGTTATTTGTAACAAAAGATTTTATATATATTATGCGGTAGATTCCCATATATCGCGATTTCTTCTTATAAATGTGCTAATATAAATTAAATATGAATATTAATTGAGCATTATATATATTATATTTAATTTATTCATCGTTACCGATTGTTCACATTTTCTCAATCAATTTTTATTATTATTATTATTACTATTATTATTATTATTATTATTATTATTATTATTATTATTATTATTTGTTTTTTATTTTTAACTATTATTGCAAAAGGAGGAAGAATTTTCTTTCGAATTATATTTCATTCGTATACTTTCGTGTATTAAAATCGTAAATTATTTTCGAGGAAAGAAATAAACAAAAAATACAAATTAAAAGAACAATCGCGTTATAGGATAAAAGTATTCGCACAACATGATTTCTTATAATTCGTAACGTACTTATCGCATTATAAGGGAACCTAGTGTATTCAATTTAAATATATAAAATCTA